CCCCTGAAACCCCCCCTTCCCATTCAGCGTTTGACTTATCGAACCCTTTGTTTGTGAGTGGACACGCGTTAAGTTGTGACTGTAAATTTCCAGGCGCTGAGATGCTCTGACGATGAGTGGCATAGGAGACAACTCGTTGGAGCCGCTGTGCTCGGACCGCAAACGCAAACTGTCCACCTGCGACACGCCGGGCATCGGGTGAGTGAAAGAGCAATTTGGCGTCGCTGTGCGCCTTGACGGGGCGGTGTGGTTGTCTTGGCGACATGTCTAATCCCCTCGGCGCCCCGGCAGGTGTGACAAGCGTCGGCGGGAACAGGAGACCAAGTACATCGAGGAGCTGGCTGAGCTCATCTCCGCTAACCTCTCGAACATCGATAGCTTCAACGTGAAGCCCGACAAATGCGCAATCCTCAAGGAGACCGTGCGGCAGATCAGACAAATCAAAGAGCAAGGTACCCGCTGAGCGCACGCCGCCACCCACACACGACCAACACCAGCGCCAGATGCGATTTGCGGCGGCCTTATTTGTATCTGGAGAGCTGAAAGCGAATACGGTTTGGCCAGCTCGAATAGCCTTCTGCAGAGCAGATGATGCTGGTGATGAAGTGGTGCTTTTGGTTCATGGCCAGGCCTCGGACGGGCAGCCGCTTTGCAGTTGGTAAATGGACACCAGCAATTGAGACCGATGCTTGGTGCTCGTGGCTCCGAGCGCTCAGAGACGCTCTTCATCTGAACGTTTTGCCAAAGCCTGCTTCCCACTCACTCTGAAATCTCTTTCAGGATCATTTTGCAAATCTGACTCGACTGACAACAGTCGCTTGATTGCGAAAAGATCTGAGATTTGGCTATAGAAGGGCAAGACAGTTCAGTCATGTAGTCCGATGGCCCTTTTCCACCACGCTCGAGCTCGCGCTCGCGCTAGTGTCGGGCCAGTGCCCAGGTTAGCACCCATTCTTTCTTTTTTCCACCGCCGAAATTTGCTCGAGCTCTCGCTTTGGTGCTTTAAACTGGTGCTTAAGGCGGCCCCAATAATGCGTCGGGCCAGACTCTGGCACCAACTACGTCAGGGGGCGGGGTTATCGTGACGATGGCAGATGTCGAGGAAGGACTCCCTGGAAACACGGAAGTTTTGAGCGGTGAACTCTGGCAAAATTGCATCCCACCAGAAGAGCGATAGCGGATGTGCCCGGATAGCACGCCATCTCCGACTCGCAGCCGACCTCGTCATCATCTACATTGATTCCGAAAGACAGAAGCGTTTGCTGATTGCGTGTCCTTGACTGTTACATACTATATACAAGCATAATCGATGCTATGCTGAGTTGCCTGGCAGATGCTAACAGTGCATTATTATTATTATTATTATTAATAGCGTTGATGTAAGCAGTGATATTTGGACGCTTTATGATGGCGTAATGACGTCGCTCCTACTAGGCGCTTTGCCGGTGGAAACCAAACACGTTCTTCGTACAAACTTGTTAAGCGCCAACCAAGCACAGCACTGGCCCCAGCGCAGAACGAGCACCAAGTTTTTTTGGTTTGTTTTTTGTTTTTGGGGTGGAAAAGGAGTCCCAGCTGGTTCTTTTCCTGAACCCGGCAGCATCACCCAACGCGGGAGCCTTTGGCAGGCTAACCGGAAGGGGACCTTTTTTTGGTTTATTTTTTCTACACGTCTTTTTGTCCACCCCCACATCCATAGTTGGCCCCTCAGAGAAGTGACATCTCATCTTCGCAATCTCAGCCAAGTGGTGAAGCGCAAAAGGGTATTTATTCCAAGGTGACTCTATTTTGTGTCTCACTTAGCACTTAAGCCCAGAGATAGTCCGACTATGTTGAGGGTTGTCCAACAAAGTCTCAGACACATGCTCCATTTAAAAATAGAAAGGTATGCGAAGCATGCATCTGGGACTTGTGCTGCCACCTGCTGATCCGGCAAAGATGTTACATACAAGTTGAAACTTCGCGACGATGAACAATATGCCAACTTTAATCCGTTTGAAATGCAACACAGACATTTGGGGGGTTGTTGCCTTTAAGAAGCTGACACGATGTGAATGATGCTTTTTGTTTCTGGTCGCTGTCCAACGTTTCGCTTCAGGCAAAAACTCTTGCAGTGCCGACGATGTCCAGAAGGCGGATGTGTCCTCCACCGGTCAAGGGGTCATTGACAAAGACCACCTGGGACCCCTGCTTTTACAGGTGCGATTCCCACCTGGGCCAAAAATCCCTTGCGTCCTCTTCGCTGCCACCGCTTGCACTTAGCATGTCAGCGCAAAGGTCCGCGCGTTCCCCATGTCTCCGCATTTTCTTCCTTGCAGGCCCTAGACGGGTTTCTTTTTGTGGTGAACCGAGAGGGAAGCATTGTGTTTGTGTCGGACAACGTGACACAATACCTTCAGTACAAGCAGGAGGAGCTCATCAACACCAGCGTGTACAACATCATTCATGATGACGACAGGGAGGCGTTCCACAAGAATTTGCCCAAATCTGCCGGTGAGCCCCAAATGATGCATGCAAATGAGCACGATCGAGTACAACGCCTCAACACGTGCAACTGGTTATCGTCGTCACGCACCGGTCATTTTTGATGGCTTCTCGTAGGTCCAAACGGGGGCTCGTGGGCGGGAGAGGCACCCAGACAGAAGAGCCACACCTTCAACTGTCGCATGTTGGTCAACTCGGTCCACGGTCACAGGCATGGGTTGTCGGAGGACAGAGTTGGTGGACAGCGCTACGAGACCATGCAGTGCTTTGCCCTCACGCAGCCCCGGGCCATGATGGAGGAAGGGGAAGGTATCGATGTCGAGTGTCTTTTTAATAATAATGAAGAAATAGGATAGAAGGGCCTTTGACTTGATCTGGAACGCAGAACACATTCATAGTAATATCCAAATGAAACGACAGCGTGCCAAAGGATATTGTCTCTTGATCCAGATCTCCAGTCATGTATGATCTGCGTGGCCCGACGCATCACGGCACTCGAGAGGACGGAGCGCTTCAGCACGCGTCACGAGCTGTCGGGTAAGCCGTGCAAATGTGCCAGGTCAAAATCGAAAATGGACTGGCTGCGAAAGCGTCTGGCTTTACTCATGTCGTTCCACGGTTCCCGTACGCGGTCTGAAATCCGTTTTTCGAAAACCGCACGCTGTATGATGGCGTGCACCAAAAGCTCCCTCGTTCTCCCTTTGCGTGACTGCCGGGAGCCACGCCCTCATTTCCTGTCCTGTGATTCTAGGTAAACTTATTGAAATTGAGCAGCACAGTACTCTTCACACCACCATGCGCCCTGGTTGGGAGGACCTGGTGAGACGCTGCATCCAGATGTTCCTCAGCCGGAGCGACGGGCAGCCCTGGTCTTACAAACGCCACTATCAAGATGGTTTGTATTTCGAAAGTTGCCCAAATTCACAGTGCCCTCGGACCTATTGCCGTGGTGGCCCTTACATGTTAGCGAGCAGAACACGCTTGATGTGAACGGGGTCAGGGTTCACCCCTGTGCCTCTCCCCGTCGAGACCGGAGGAACCGCAAGAAAATGTCGAATGGCCACTTCATTTGCCACGAAGCGTAACCCTTCGTTCATTGCGCCCTTTCACGACAGCTTTCCACAATGGCCACGCAGAGACACCTCTCTACCGATTCTCCCTCGCCGATGGCACCCCCGTCACAGCCCAGACGCGAAGTGACCTCTGCAGGAATCCCAACAGCAACGAACCCCTCTCCTTTCGCTCCACACACTTGCTTCAGAGGTGGCCAAAGAGACATTTTGCATCCAGTCGCAATGGTCTTTGGAGTCGTCAACCGCATGAGGGTCTCACCGTATTTTCCGTTCCATCTTTCAGGGAGCAGAATAGCTATCGTGGCACCCAAGTCGGAGGCGTTAGGCCTCAAAGCCTGGCTGCGAGCAACCCCAACCAACAGATGAACGTGGTGCTGTCTGGCGGAGGCATGAACTTGCCCTATGGCATGGCAGAGCAGGGAAACATGGCCCAAAGAGGGGCGCCCCCTTACGCGGGGGGCCATTGCATCAATCAAATGAACCCCGTGCATCCAATGAACGCCATGGGTCCCATCAATCCCATGAGTTCCATGAACGCGATGAACCAAATGGGGCCGATGAATCCGATGGGCCACCACGGCATGCATCAGCACCAACATCAACAGATGGCTTCGTTCCACGGGGGTGGACCTGGAGCTGGCGCGTACGGCATGGGAGTGACCAGTCCCCCTCTGGCCAGTCCTGGCATAAACGGGCCCCCACACAATGTCATGGGTTCGCCCCGAGTCCGAGGAAGCCCCAAGATGGGCGCAAGCCCCTTCTCTCCCGGAGGTACCGCCCGCGTCTCTTGCTCGCCCGACTCCTTCTCTTTCAGCGTCGTCAAAAAGTCCAAATCTGCAATTTGTTCCACCCAAGCTCACCTGCTATTATTCCTTTGTAGGTCTGAATTCTCCCATGAGCTCCGGTCACCCAGGCAACTCGGGAGGCGGCACCACTACTTTCTCCAGCAGCTCCCTGAATGCTCTGCAAGCCATCAGCGAGGGCGTGGGCAATCCGCTGACGTCCCCGAGCGCACACAAGCCCGACAGCTCGCCGAGCATCAATTCCACCAACCAGGTGGGGGGCGGGGCCTGCAAATCCAGCCTCCCCTCCCACTGCGAGTCGAAGAGCCCAGGGAGCTCCCTGGGGGCAACGGCCGAGCAGCATCCCCGCACCCCCTCCGGCGAGTGCGCTTCGGACAAACCGGACAGTCAGGCGGGCAGAGAGGCGGGGCCAAACATGGGAGAATCAAATCGTCGGGCGCCTGACAAAAGCCACAAGAAGCTTTTGCAGCTCCTCACATCCCCGGCAGATGAGCTCGTGCCAGCGAAACACCCCCCGAGCTCCGGGCCCGGTTCCACACCGGATGTCAAAGACGCGACCACTGGTGTCACCAGCCCTTCCTCCTCAGGCGGCGGTCATGGTGCGGTGTCCTCCTCTGGCAACGCGGGGCACTTCACAAGTCAGTCACTGCAGGAGAAGCACAAGATTCTCCACAAGCTCCTGAAAAATGGCAACACTCCGGACGAGGTGGCCCGCATTACGGCCGAGGCCACTGGCAAGAGTAGCTTAGAGTCGCCCGGCGCACCTGAGGCGGGAGCCGCAGCTGTCGCCGGGGGCCGGGCGTCCGAGTCCAAGCAGGAGCAGCACAGTCCCAAGAAGGAGGTGTCCAACGCGCTCCTTCACTACTACCTGCTAAATAAGGACGACTCCAAAGAGGGTGCTGATATCAAGCCAAAGCTGGAGGAGCTGGAGGCGAGGGGCGCTCCGGGACCCGGGGTCTCGAGCTCCGACGGCCACTCGCTGGATGGCAAGGTCAAGCTCGAGCCATCTGATGAGGTAATAACAGCAGCCTCACTTTTACCCTTGGTCAGTGCAGTCAACGTTTTTGTTCCCCTTCCGCGTTCCGACGATGCAGGTGGAGACCCTGGAGACCATCCTCGGGACGAGGAATGTTTCGGGTTTCTTCCCCGAGCCCGATTCCAGATCAGGAAAAGAAGTCGGGAACAAACAGGGAGTACTGCCCGACAGTTTCCTCGGTAAGACCAATTCAACATGTGGTCGTTGGACTGCTACCGAGCCTCGGCGCTGTTCTCGTTTGCTTTAGAAAGAGATCGAGGCCCCGTAACTCCAGGTCAGCGAGGTGCCTGTCAAAGAGCCTTGTCTGTGGATGCTAAGCCGATGGGTGGAGAAGTGTCAGTGGGAGTTGGCTTGGCTGGAAGAAGGAATGCGCTCTGTCCCACGCTCATCAAACAAGAGAACACGGATGCACCCATCCGACCTGGGGGGGTTCCCAACGGCTTTCCCGGCGTGTGTCCGCCCAGAGGCCATCCAACAAGTACGTCTTTTTTTTTTTTTTTATGACCCTTCCCAAAATAACTTTTTTTTTTTTTTTTTTAATCAAGCCCTCAGTTACTGAGCACAAATAGCGAAAAAAACATCCTGTGTAGAGCAGGGGTGTCAAACTCATTTTTGTGGCAGGCCACATAGGAGTGATGTCTTCCCTCAGAGGGCCGTTATGACAGTGAATCAAAGAAACGTTGAATCGCCTCATCGTATTATTACTTGTACCCAACTAATTGATGTAGTACAGTTTTTTTTTTCCCCCGCTTCTTGTTTGAGTGTAAACGGGGTGACAAAATGATTGCAAAATCTCAACGTTATTTATCACACATGACAATTTGACATTTTGGTACAGATCTGAGCAAGCATCGTGCAAGTTGACACATGATTTGCTGATGTGGCGGGGCGGATCTGGCCCCCGGGCCTTGAGTTTGACACCCGTGATGTAGCTCTTCACCGCACAACCGAGCTGTACCTATTCCACTTCAGCCCGCTGACCTCGGTGTGTCCGAGGGAGTGTCTGCTGTTGACGCTTGTTGTCCTTTGTCGAGCACAGGAGGCGTGGTCCGAGGGGCGGGAACGCCTCAACGCTCTCCGATGGCAGGGCCGGGGGAATGGCTCATGCAAAGATCAAACACCAGCCCGATGACTGGACCGGGTCACCCGGGCATGGGTCGCTCTGGTCTCATGGCCGGAGCCATGCTCAACCGCTCCAACAGTGTACCCGCAAACACGAGGTCAATCCTGCAGCAGCAACTTCTGGAGATGGGTAAGTCCGGCAAAGTCTGAGCGGAATACACAAGAAGCAACCCGCGTAAACTGCACCTCTCACTGTCCTCGTTGTAGGTACCAATGAAGGCAACGTGAGTATGAGCCCGTTTGGCGGGCACGGGCCCTCACCCCGGTCCCCTTCCTGGCCAGAGTCTGCCATAGGGATGGAAAGATCACAGAGTAATCCAAGCAGGTCCATATGAGTCTTTCTCAGTTGCTCTTAATCACTGCTCGTAGACAGGCGTCGTCATAACTTTTCAAACATCCAACGATCAGAGCGTTGACTCCAATTTTGGCGACAGGGAACCATTTGGCAATTCTCTACCGGAGCTTGTGTGCCCCCCGGCGAGCAGTGAGGGACCGAGTGATGAGCGGGCGCTTCTGGATCAGCTGGACTCTCTGCTGAACACTGCCGACGTCATTGCGTTGCAGGAAATAGACCGGGCCCTGGGCATCCCTGAAATAGTGGGCCAGGTATGAGTATTGTTAAGGATGATCTGAACCCCCCCCCAATCATTGGCACCTGCTGATAATTTGTTATTCTGCAGCGTTTCATGCATCATTATTTAGCGGCTTCTGAAAACTGCCTCACTCCACATTCATGTTAAGATCCAAGGTGCCATCCAGGATGTCATTTCTCCCCTCTTTACCTCAGAACCACGGACCTGAGGGTCATCCGCAGGCCCACGATCAAGGACAGTCCCAACCGGCCCCCTCAGAGCCTTTCACGGGGCCCGACTCAAGCATCGGCTTGGAGCAAAAGCCCATGTATGGCCAAGGGTATCCCGGGCCACCGGGACCCACCTCGATGGGCATGCAGCCCGGTTACGGCGGCAACGCCATGCCAAGCCAATCTCCTGCAGGATACAACCCCTTGATGAATCAAATGGGCCAGGCCGGAAGCTTCCCGGGAATGGGGGGCATGGCGGGTCTGGGTAACCCCCGTGCCAACATGATGAGACCCCGCATGATGACTGCCAGCAAGCCTCTTCGACTGCAGCTACAGCAGAGGCTTCAAGGACAACAGGTGATCCCGCTGAAATCTTCATGAAGAAAAGAAATTAGTTGCGTACTTTTTGGGGTCATTCTATTTTCTTTTTTTTTTTTTTTTTGATACTGTAAGTTTGACCATTCGCGGATAGCTACGCCAGGTCACAGAGCTTCCACATGCTGGTCCATTCGGCAATACAGAAACTGCAAAAAGGACTTTGGTAGTTACCAGCGCTGTGGATTTAGGGCAGCTGTGGCATCAACCTTACGTAGGGTGGTGGTCTAGGACATTCGCAAAGCACTGTACACATCAAAAGTTATTCCCTCCCCCGAAATGAAGTCTGATTTAAAGTGATCTCATATGACAGTTTATGAACCAGACGCGTCAAGGCATGAAGATGGAAGGGAATCCGGCCATGCGCCCTGGCATGCGCCCTGGCATGCAACCCGGCATGCAGCCTGCTATGCGACCTGGGATGCAGCCCGGAGGAATGAGTGGTCAGGTGTGGCGTCAGCCGTCCTTCACTTTTAATGGCCTATGCTTATTTTGCACCCCTCGCCAAGGTCGCGCAAAAAGCCTCCGCTCTTGTTAAATCGGCCGGCGTGCTTTTGTTTTTGTGCAGCCTGGTTTCCTGAATGCTCAGATGATGGCCCAGCGCAGCAGGGAAGTGATGACCATGCAGATGAGGAGGCAGCGAATGATGATGCTGATGCAGCAGCAACAGCAGCAGCAGCAGCAGCAGCACCAGATGCAGGCGGCGCAGGGGGCTGCCGCAGGATTCAGCCCTCCTCCTAATGTCACCGCACCAGGAGGAATGGACAGCGCCATGGGAGGGCCCGGCATCAACCAGCCAGGACAGCAGGGATTCAACTATGGAGCTAACTATGGTGAGTGTTTGAAGAGTCGCTGGGGTCGGGAAAAGGCAACAGTTTGGGTCCTCGCCAAACATACCGCTAGTGGAGCTTTTGAGGGGCGTCTCTGTTTTGCTTATCATGGCTTAACTTCTTAGCAGTGGTTAACTACTTTTTGCAGTGGTATGGAATGTTACTCAAAACATTTGCTGCTTGGCCACTCGTTTTCTTATGATGCTGACAGTTTTCCTCCAGATTTGCTTGTTTCTTAAGCAAAAAAAAAAGCCTCTTTTGACCCTCAAGTGACTGGGGGCTTTTTCTCTGCCATATCGATGTTCTAAGTGCTGGCCCTGACTGCTTTGCCGCACATGCAGGTATGAACCAACAAGGAGAGCAATCGTTCATGGCTCCCAGTAGCAGCCCACCGCAAAATATGATGACGGCGAGGATGGGAGGTCCTGCTCAGAGCAACATGATGTCAGGAATGCAAGGAAATCCACAGGGAGGCTCCATGTATCCGTCAGGAGACATGAAGGGCTGGCCGCAAGGTGGAATGCCACGCAAAAGGTACGTGGTGCCAATGTAATGACGCTCCGAGAGTCAAAGTCATTCTTGGCTCAAGCGGTTCCGTTGTTCGTGTCATCCATCATTTGGCTTTCAAGGAGACATCTGCAGTCTCATGCGTTATTATTATTATTTTTCTTTTTGCGGGGAGGGGCTCGCTGATCATGTCATGGGTGAAGAAAGTCGGAGTGGTGGTGGTTGTTGACTTTGATTTTAATTAGCCCCACTGTTGAGTAAGAGTTGAGAAAGTTGAGAAACTAGTGGTACGTTGGCTCCCTCTAGTGGTTATTTCCTAGATTGTGACACAGGAGGTTCGAGCCTGACGCCAGCGATATAGTGGAAAAAAATATAAAATAATAATGCTGTCATAATAATTTGAATGCCATTTTAAAACTGCAAAAACAAAGCCTTTGCCTGAATTTTTTAGCAGGTTGGCTTTCTATGCTACCGTATGTAATGTCGGTCACGGTGGTGGTACATGAAGAGCAAAGTATTTCGTTTCAGTGCCACTTGGAATAAATAGTATTTCCCAACCTTACTTGACCCCAAATCAGTTGCATGCAGTGCAAAGAGTTGGAGGGTATCTACGGCGCATGACTCAGCGGTTCTTTGCATCCTTCCTGCAGCTCGTATCCCCAGCAACAGTTTGCGCAGCAGGGGAACCAGGGCCAGTTTGGGAACATGATGATGAACAACTCCCTTGGCAGAACCGGCGCGGTCGGTGGTGCCGGCTCAGCCCAAATGGGCCAAATGCCGGGCCAGATGCAAAATCAAATGCAGGGCCAGATGCCAGGACCAATGCAGGGTCAGATGGGCATGAACCCTATGGGAATGGGTCGGATGCCGATGGGACCTGATCAGGTACTCCGCTTCTGACGATGTTTTGCAACACATCTCATCGCACATGTCACATCTTTGTCTTCTTCTTTTTTTTTTCCCTCCTCTCTGCAGAAGTATTGCTGAGGGCATGAGCAGAACACGGTGAGCCTTGCCACCAAGGTCTGGGCCCAGAGAACACCTAAACATTATTCTCCAGCATCAAACATGAACGACATCGACACAACACACTGCTCATCCGAGAGCAAAATTGCCCTCAGGATGAATTTGTGCCAGGTTGTATCTCCAACTGGAGCTTTGCACCCTCATATTAGGACGCGTGTGTGTGTCTGTGTGTGTGCACGTGCATGTGCGCGTGTGTAAGACTTGGAGATGGCAGGCAGTGTTGAGCAAAACGGGGAGCGACGGTACAACTGGCTCTGACTGCACTTTACTTGGAGGTTTCTGGATGGAAAACCATTGATGCAATATTTCCTCATCTTTACAGCCTTACGAGAAATTTGATGCCTTCACAACAATGGGTTTGTTTTTTTATATATTTTTTATGGTTGTTTTTTTTTTTGTTGTTGTTGTTTTGTTTGTGTTTGTTTTTAATTGTCTGGATGGCCTCATGCAAAAGTCATTGGAAAATATAAGCACACTTTCTTCCGGTATACAGATTGGAGCAATAATGTCAATGTTTTCGTCTGTAAGTGAGCATCTCAACCTCTCTTCTAAGCAAGCAAACGGTACTGCAGTATTAGATGTCTCAAACATCATCTGTGAATAGGAATTGTACATATTCGACAAAATATATCAACCGTGATTTTTCAAGGCTTATTATTGCACAAAGAATG